GGGGCAGGAGGAGAAGAGAAAGACAGAGGATGAGATGGTTGGATGGCATCACCGACTCAATGGACATGAGTTTGAGTAAACTCTGGGAGTTGGTGACAGACAGGGAAGCCTGGCGTGCTGCAGTCTATGTGGTCACAAAGAGTCAGACACGACTGAGCAACTGAACTGAACCTCAAGTGTTAGGCCTATACTTATATATTGTGACTCCTTCTAAAGCCTGAATTTGACTGCACAATGATGCTGTTAATTCACATTTGATGTTTAGTCGGGCTCCTACCAAACTGAATAAGACTAACCATGCCATCGGGTTCCCAGGTGGCTCAGAGGGTAGAGAATCCACCTGCACTGTGGGAGACCTGGTTCAATCCCTGGGTTGGGAAGACCCCCTGGAGAAGGGAACAGCTATCCACCTGGAGAATTCCATGGACAGAGGAGCCTGGCAGGCTACAGTCCATGGGGTGGCAAAGAGTTGGACACGACTAAGTGACTTTCCCTCACTCACTCAACCATACCATACTCATATGCTACTTTCAGAAAGACTACAGGCTAGTGTTGCCCCTTTTAGTCCTCCCCAGTTCACTGTATTTATCACAACAATGGTGCACAGTGTTTTGCTAAAGACACACACATGTTACTTACAATCTTACTAATAGGATATACAGGCAGCATACAAGAAGTGAAAATTTAAAGAACCAGTCAGAACCATTATTTCTTTCAGTGTTTAAAGATTTCAGCTCTATTGAATGTAACGTGCACTCAAACTTATGCAATAACTCAGTCTGACATCCATGATTCCTTTCAGTAATTTAATACTATTAATTTAATATTTACATAAATCTAACAGAAGCCCAAAGTTTTTCTAGTAATCTCACTCTCCTTTTTATTAACAGAGTAGAATATAAGTACATTAACATAATCCCAAAGAAACCAAAGATTGAAATCGTTTTTTTAATAAGAATTAATTTTGAAAATGCTAAGCTAAAGTATCAAAGAAGTTTTCAAGAATGGATTTGTATTAGTAATTTTTCCATATTTATGAGTTATAGACATGGAAACATAATAATAAGGAATGAAAAGAAATAAGCATTAAATAAGAAAATATACATAAAACCAAGAATTAGGATTTTTTCTTAAGTTCAGCCAAAAACAGCCTAGAAATGATCAACAGAATCAATTTTTCTCAAAGACTTGTGCCAACATTCCCTATTTTAAATTGATGTCCAGGTTTGGTATGATGAAAGAAGGGACAAGTGAGCTACGAAATTGTCATAATGCAATTCTGGCATTTACAATTGGAAAACAGGAGACCTGAGGCAGAAAGGGAGTGCAAATGGCAAAAATTAAAATGATATAAAAGTAATTTTCAGGAAAAGAAAGTCAAGAAACCATGTAAGAAGGAACTTTAAGGGAAAGCATAAGTGGAGGAAAAGGGAAATTTCCTCTAGAGGTGACTAGCAACTGAGAAATCTCATAGAGAACTCAGAGAACAACAACAACAAAATTTACAGTGATTTGAACTGCTAGTTTTACTGCCATCAGGTGAAGAAGTTAAAAGTTTCCATTCTCATTATTACAACATGAAAAAAATCAACAAATTAAAAACAAATCAATGTTTGTTTGTTATTTCTGGACATATCAGAGAAATGACTTTCAGGACAAATTTCTACCCTGAGATCTGATGAAAGAGGTAAATCCAGAAAGTTATTGCCAAAATCTGTTTATCTGGAGCAGAAGATACTAGAGCCACAGACTGGTAGAAACACTTACACGATGATTTTTGACAACCTTCTATTTGAAGACTAGTGTGTAAGAGAGAAGCACTGAAGACTGCAGTCTTTGAGGAGCCCTCACACTTTGGGGTAATGCCAGTGAAACTTATCAGGTGTTTATAGAAAGAAGTCCTTGCATCTTTGATAGGAGCAGTTGAAGAGCTATCCCTGGGAAGTGAAGTCAGAGCCTCCTCCGTTAAAAGGGGGAAAGGATTCATGATTCAATCTTGGTAGGTTGTATGTTTCCAGGATATTAGACATCCCTACTCTCTTTTGGTTATAATTTACATTAAATATGAAGAAATTGAAAATATGAATAGATCTATAACTAGTAAACAGACTGAATCAGTAATGTAAAATCTTTCAGAAAACTCCAGGACCAGATGACTTCACTGCTGAACCTTTAAAAAATTAATGGCAATCTTCTTTAAACCTTTCCAAAAAATCAAAGAGGACCAAACACTTTAAAACTCATTTTTATGATGCCAGTACTACCCAGACGCCAAAGCCAAAGACACTACAAGAAATAAAACAAACCAATATGCCTAGTGAATATCAATGCAGACATTTTCAACATAATAGTAACAAGGAGAGTTCAAAAGAATATTATAAGAATTATATACCATGACCGGACTTCCCAGATGGCACTAGTGGTAAAGAACCCACCTGCCAATGCAGGAGACATAAAGAGAAGTTTGATCCCTGGGTTGGGAAGATCCCCTGGAGGAGGGCATGGCAACCTACTCCAGTATTCTTGCCTGGGGAATCCCATTAATAGAGGATCCTGGCAGGCTATAGTCCAAGGGATCACAGAGTTGGACATGACTGAAGTGACTTAACATGCNAATTAACAGTGAAGAATATGAAAAGGAAATCTTTAAAGCATTTCCATTTATAATAGCATCAAAAATAATAAAATACATAGACATAAATTTAACCAAGGAGGCAAAAGACTTGTACCCTAAAAGCTATAAACATTTGTGGAAATAAATTAAAGATATCAATAAATGTAAAGACACCCCATAGTCATGATTGAAACAATTAATGTTTTAAGATGTCAGTACTACCCAAAGCAATATACAGCTTTAATGTAATTTATGTCAAACTCCCAGAAACCAACAAATCCATCCTTAAATTCATATGGAATCTCAAGGGACCTTGAGTAGCCAAACAATCCTAAAGAACAAAGTTGAAGGTTCCACACTTTCTTATTTTGAAACTTATTACAACCCTACAGTAATCATTACAAAGCTGCAGTAATCAAAATATTGTAGTACTGGTATAAAGATAGACGCATAGACTAATGGAACAAAATAGAATCCAGAGGGAAACTGACATAAAAATAGCTAGGATAGATTACACACAGCCAAGCAAAAAGTCAGTGATCTTGAAGGTATGTCAATAGAAACTTCACATAATGAACTTCCAAAGAGGAAGAAAAAATAATGAAAAAAGTAGACAAAAGAAAATATCCAACATTGAAAAAGGAGAAATAAGGGAAAATGCAGCAGAATAAATATTTAAATTAATAATGGCAGAGAACTTTCAATAATAAATGGCAGACACCAAATCACAAATCCAGGAAGTTCAGGGAACATCAAGCAGGTAGTTACAAAAAGAAAAAAAAAAAGGCAACATGTAGAAATATGTATAAATGAGTTGCTATATACATAGTCCCTTGCGAGGGCCTAGAACATACTCCAAAAGTAGCAAGCATCTTCACTGCCCAATCTTGGTTTCTAATACCATTCTATGGAAAAGAAATCAGTGCTCCTTGAAGATGTGACTATTTGGAGCTTGGTGCAGGGACTATACATGATAAGCCTGTAACATCTAATTTCAAAAATTATAAAAATATTCCTCTCTTCAAATAAACCCACAAGGATATATTAATATGAACAGATGACTGAATAAAGAAACCAGTGAGGAAGAACACAAAAAATCCTGTATTTAGAAGATTTCTAATTTATGTATATATATATATCCCTTTCTTGAGGTGATGGAGCTTACATCCCCAGTCCTCAAGTAAAACCTGCACACAGTAACTTTCTTCCAAAGAAGACAGCATGTAAAGGGAAAATAAAAATAATTATTTTACAGTAGAGAAGCTGACAAACACTATGTCAAGCTATGTGATCAAGGTTAACATCGACAGTGATAAATCACATTTATATATTACACCATTAACATGAAATGATAAGAATAGAACTTTACCTTAGTTGTCTTCCTTCCAATCTAGTTATGAGGAAAACATCAGACAAATCCCAGTTGAGAGGCATTCTACTAAATACCTCACTAGTATTCTTCAAAACTGTCAAGGTCAGCAAAAGCAAGAAAAGTCTGAATAAATGTCACAGCCAAGAAGAGCATAAAGACACATGATAACTAGATGTAATGATATCCTGGATAGAATTATGGAACCATAAAAGGGCAGCAAGGGAAAACAGGAAATCTGTAGAATTTATGGACTTAGTTAATTATAATGCATTACTGTTCATTAATTGTGACTAGTGCACCATACTCATGTAGATAGTTAGCAAGGGAAACAGGGTATGGAATATATAGGACTCAGCAGTATCTTCGCAAATATTTTCTAAATCTAAAACTGCCCTAAAATTTTAAGGTTAACTTTAAAATGTTATACAAGAGAAACTAAACAGTGTTGGTTTCTTTTCCAACTCTTGCACTATTAAGTCCTAGTTTTAAAGGCAAAAGACTCTCTATTTCTCTTGTATTCCTAAAAACCCCTCCACCTGCCACCACTATTTTTTGCTTTGTTCACCTGGTCCTTCCTTTACTCTTATATATTCTTTGCCACAGATCTGTGGTACAATTCTATTACAGGTGACCTGATTTTCAATGTGCTTTCACAACAGCCAATGCAGACAGATTAGTATTAGATTATCCTGAAAGAGCTGCAGTGTGGTGTCCTGAGATTGAATTGAAGGCAATCACCAAAGCCTTTGGGTGAACAAGAGAAAAAAGGAAAGAAAAGGATATAGCATACTTCTAGCTTCTGAAGCTATGAGGAAATCAGGCATAGCATTCCTATGCCTGTCTTCCTCATATCCTTAGAAACTGGAGAAAAGTAATCTTTAACAATCTAGAGAAAATGATTTCAGCACTAAAGAAAATACTTATTTAATTAGAAAAAAAACACTCGATAAAGATAGTTTTCATAATTTTAGAGTTTACTTGCTTTGATAAAATAAGCCATGTTACTTATCTTACATGTTGCCAGTCAGAAAAAGTTTCAAAATGATGGTTCACATTTGCTTCTATAATTAAAGGCACTATTCAATAGCTGCAAATTAAAAAAAAAACTTTATAATATTTCATTATCATTTCTTAAATTTCACTACTTCCATAAAATAATGATGGTACAATGATGTCAGCAGGCCAGCATTCATTCTTGAGCTTCAGTAGAAACTGGATATAAGGAACTTAGATATTTACTACTGCAGAGGGAGTTCCCCCAGAGAAGAAGCCAATCACACCATCTCTAATTTCCATGGCTGAACAATAATGGGTAATGAAGATTCAGGGGCCAACACGGGGAACATATAAAGCAGGTAACAGGAGAGCTTCCTGGGACACGGGTGCCTTCTTTTTGGCTACTCTGTGCAAAAGATTTGTGGATTTGAAAACTGTATTTCATAGTGTTTTTAATCAGAAGCTAAATGAAATTTCTATTCTTAAATTATATTATGACAATACGAACACTAAAATACCCACTGTGTGAAGTTTGTTTAAAGTAAAAGGAAAACAAAAAGGAATTTTAGAAACTCAACAGACAAAATACTTTTATATAGAGTGCATTGCAATTTTATCTTTTTGAAAACATATTTTGGATTAAAAAGAGATGTGCATAAGAGCAAGTTTAACATCTCTTGTGGTCTACTTACAAAATATTTTTATATGTGTACCTCTCCATCTCTAGTTATTGTCCCTTTCCTAGTGGGAAGTAAACACCTAATTTTTTTACTTAAATAAAATTTATTTAGCAAATTTTTCAAAACATGATTTGAAACAAACTCTAAAATACCATATCATTGAATGAAATTTCCAAATTGTCTTATAGTTTGAAAGGAAATTCAAGTTTTAAAAAGAGATACCATGTTCTTTAAATAAAACAATCAACCCAGAAATCTATTCTGAAATCTCTCACTTTTTATGTATTCTATCCTATTTATCGTTTGTTTCTTTTAAAATTTCTTTTTGTAAGTGAAGAAGTAGTGAGCTCATGGTAACAGAAGACAAATCCTCTGTTAATTTTTTCCACTCTTCTTACTCCAAATATATTTGGGTCAACAGATTCTATCCACTTAGTAATCAAGAAAGTTGTGGCTAATTTTCAAATGAGAAGAGTTTAATTTTACAAGATTACTCAAAGAACAGATCTAAAGAAAAGGAAAAAAAAAGCGTTTAAGTAATTTTAACTAGATTTGTTATTTAACTCATTCAGTAATATTTATTTTAAAACACATAGATGTTAAGGTTTTTTTTTCATAAATAGTTCAGTTAATTTTGCCTAAATATTTCAGTTAATACAACAGTAATTTTGAAAACTTTATACAGATAGTAAGGGAGAAATTGTCCCCATTGTTCATAATAGTAATTTTCATTCTCTCACTCCACTTATAAGATGATCTTGCTTGCAGAGATTTATGTGAACTGTGTATTTTGGAAGCATATTTGGCTGTAATCATGGCCAACTCTGTTGCTGTGAACATCACTATAATTTTGAATTTTAGTGACCTCATCATAAATCCTTATGACTGTTACACATCCAGTGACAGTTCTAAACATAAAGACTTATTCACAAGGAAAGAATCATGAATCTAGTTCTCTAAACTCAATGTATACATCAACTTAGGACCACAGTTCTTTGGCCTATTCAGAATTATTGCTCATAAATTTATAGAAGCTCCTACTTAGATTTAGAGACAATCTTAAAGGCATTTATTTTCTAAACATTCTACAGTAATTGTAATATTCTTTTAATGAAAGACTTCAAATGAAACACGTTTTTTCCTGAGGCACAACTTACTAAAGTAATATTAGCCATTTTCCTCAACTTTTGGTCACATACTGTAAAATCCAAACACTTTACATTGTCTAGCTTATCTAAATTTAATCCTTATGACCCTCATGAGGAAGGTGGTCAAATAAACTATCATCCATTCCAGGACCTAAAAATAATTTAAAACATGCAATAATTTATATATTTTTCAGAATTTCTTTAGGCTTAATTTAAAATGATTATTTCAATAAATATTTAGTAAGACAAAACTCATCAAAGATAGTATATCTACTTGTTCTTGTTCATTGTTAAGTCATGTCACTTTTTGTGACTTCATGGACAGTAGCATGCCAGGCTCCTCTATCCTCCATTATCTCCCAACGTTTGCTCAAATTCATGTCCATTGAGTCAGTAATGAATCTAACCATCTCATCTTCTGCTGCCCACTTCTCCTTCTGCCTTTGATCTTTCCCAGCATCAGTCTTTTCCAGTGAGTTGCCCCTTCACATCAAGTGGCCAAAGTGTTAGGGCTTCAGCTTGAGCAGCAGTCATTACAGTAGGATATTCAGGGTTGATTTCCTCCAGAGTTGAGTGGTTTTGATCTCAGCCCAAGAGACTCTCAAGTTTTCTCCAGCACCACAATTTGAAAGCATCAATTCTTTGGTGCTCAGTCTTCTTTATGCTCCTCCTTTATGATGTCTTTTCTTTTTAAAACTAAGGATATCTATTAGAATTCTGAGTATTTCCCTAAAATAAGTGGGACAAAATTGTAAATCTTCTCAATTTTTTCCAGTCTGAGAAAAAGAATAAATTTAACCTATCTAAAAAAGTGTCTTCTAAATACAGTTATACAAAACCAGGGTTACTTCTTCTCCCCAATTAACTCTCATTCTTTAATTTAGAGCAGAGACATTTCTTTGTCAACAAAGGTCCATCTAGTTAAAGCTATGGTTTTTCCAGTAGTCCTGTATGGATGTGAGAGTTGGACCATAAAGAAGGCTGAACACTGAGGAGTTGATGCTTTTGAGCTGCGGTGTTGAAGAAGGCTCTTGAGAGTCCCTTGGATAGTAAGGAGATAAAACAAGTCAACACTATAGGAAATCAACCTTTAATACTCATTGAAAGGACTGATGCTGAAGCTGACACCCCAATACTTTTGCCACCTGATGCAAAGAGCTGACTCACTGGAAAAGACCCTGATGCTGGGAAAGATTGCAGGCAGGAGGAGAATGGGATGACAGAGGATGAGATGGTTCGATGGCATTATCAACTCAATGGAAATGAATCTGAGCAGACTCTGCGAAATAGTGAGGGACAAGGTACACTGGTGTGCTGCAATCCTTGGGGTTGCAAAGCGTTAGACATGACTGAGCGACTGAAGAATATCAATATATTTAGTTGATATATATAAATGTGTTGTTGAGATACATTTAACCTCTTTTTGATTCCAAGGTTTATTTTCAAAATAATTACAATTCTCAAAAAGTATTAAAACCCAATGCTTTAGAACTATATACTTATATTATCATGATTAAAAACTCCCAACTGATTTTGAGAAAAATACACATCAACAAAATTATAAGAACTCACAATATATGACCCTTAGGTTGGCCTAGGATGTACTCAGCAAAGTTTACTTAAAAAAAAAAAAAATCTAATTAATTATGGACAACAGAAAAAACACCCAAATTGCTTTCAATCACTTTGTATGGTTTCCACATTGGTATTATTATAAATATTATAGTTCATTAGCAGCTATACATAAATAGAAATAAAAATTCTACACATTTATATTTTGTAGTTTAGGGAATTTTAAATTTAAAGAAAAAAAATGTAAAAATGTGTACAAGAAGTCCCATATATGCCTTATCTAGTCTCATCTATTATTAACATTTCATATTACTATAGCATGTTTGTTAGGATTGTGTAACTGTTTCATACATTGTGATTAACTGAAACTTTTTTCTTTTCAGATTTCCTCAATTTTCCCTTGATTTGCTTTTTCTTTCTTTCTTTCTTTTTTTTTTTTTTTACTGTTTCAGGATTCTGCTCAGGATGCCATGTCACATTTAGTTCTCATGTCTTCCTAGGCTTCTCTTGGCTGTGGTATTTTCTCAGACTTTCTTTATTTTGGATGACCTTGACAATTTTGTGGCCTACAGGTTAGGTATTTTGTAGAGTATCTTTTGACTGGAATTTGCCTAATGTTTTTCTCATAATTAGTCTGAGGGTTCTGTGTTTCTGTAGGGAAGCTCATCATCAAATCCAAGTTTACTTAGTTTTTCTTATGTACTTCTTCAAGAGGTTTTCTAGTTTTGAATATTATAATCCATTTTAGTTAGTTTTATATAATGTATATTCGTACAGATGTCCAATTATTCTAGCATCATTTGTTGAAAACACTCTCTTTTCTACATTGAATCGCCTTTGCTTCTTTGTCTAAGATCATTTGACTGTACTTGCAGATAATTATTTCTGGGCTCTCTGCTCTGTTATTCTGATCCATGTCTGGTCTTTTACCAATAACTTGCTGCCTTGATTACTACAGTTCTATAAGTTTTGAAAATAGGTAGTGTGTGCCCTCCAATTAGGTTCTTCTTTACTATTATGTAGGGTATTCTATGTTGTTTTCCTCTTCATATAAACCTTAAAATCCATTTGGTACTGTCTATAAATATCCCGACAATCTATGCTTTCAATGAGTATATTTATACAATTCATGTTTAAAGCAATTGTAATATAATTTCATTAATATTTGTATTTGCCAGCTTTCTCCAGAGAAATAAAATCTCTGAGAGAGAGAGAGAAAAGGAATTGGTTTAAGGAAATATGGAAGCTGACACATCCCAATGTCTGCAGGGTGAGTCAGCAAGCTGGAGACCCTTGAGAGCCTATGATTTAGTCCTAGTCTGATGACCAGCTGTCTTGAGATCCAGGAAGAGTTGATGCTTCACTTTGAGTACAAAGACAGGAAAAATTTTCTCCTGACTCAAGTGAGGGTCATCTTATTTGATTTATTCAAGCCTTCAATTGATTGGATGAAGCTAACCCACATCAATGAGGGCAATCTACTTCACTTAGGCAACAGAGTGAAATGTTAATCTCTTCCAGAAAGACCCTCACAGATGCACCAAGAATAATGTTTGGCCAAGTATCTTGCTGCAGTCTATGGTCAAAAAGAGTCAGACACGACTGAGCAACTGAACAACAAGTCTCTTGGCATCCTGTGACCCATTAAAGTTAAGACAAAAATCGGTCATCACAACATTTATGAACTCTGTGCCTGTTTTCAATTTTTTGTACTGTTCTTCTCCTCATGTCCCACTCATATTTTGCATTCTCTGGTTTTAAATAAACATTTCTTATGATCCTATTTTCTTTTAATTTATTCCTAACTTTAAAAAATCTACTCATTGTTCTAGAGTGTTCTATATTCATTTATAACTAATCTAAGTCTACTTTCAAATAACATCTTATTTCAGGTAGTGTGAAAGTGCTTTATGACAGTACCCCAATCAGGCTACCTGATCATCATAATATTGCTGTCATTAACTTACCTTATTCATACAATATAATCACTTAATATATTATCATTGCTATTATTTTAAACACATACTTTGATCTATTAAAACATGAAAAAAAATTAATTATCCTACCGTGTCTATTCTTTCCTGAATGCTTTTCCTTTCTGCATGTGGATCTGAGCTTCTGATTGACATAATTTTCCTTCTCCCTAAAAAATAATTTTTAAACAATTCTTATACAAATCAATGAAGGTAGAACACTATCTCATACCATACACAAAAATAAACTCAAAATGGCTTAAAACAAATGTGACATGACACCATAAACCTCCTAGACACTATAGGCAAAATATTTTCTGATATAAATCATACCAGGACTTTATTAGGCCAGTTTTCCAAGGCAATAAAGATAAAAGCAAAAATAAACAAATGGGACCTAATCAAACTTGTAAGTTTTTGTACAGCAGAAAAAACCACAAACAAAATGAAAAGACATCCTGGAGACTGGGAGAAAATATGTGCAAACAATGTGACCAACAAGGGCTTAATTTACAAAATATATAAACAATTTATATAACAAGAGAAAAACAAACAACCGAATCAAAAAATGAACAGAAGACCTAAGCAGATATTTCTCCAAAGAAGGCATATAGATGGACAAAAAGCATATGAAAAGGTGCTCAATATCAGTAATCATCAGAGAAATGCAAATCAAAACTATGAAGTATTATTTCACACCAGTCAGAACGGCCATCATCAAGAAATCTACAAATAATAAATGCTGGAGAGGATGTGGAGAAAAAAGAAGCTTCCACCCTGCTGGTGGGAATGTAAATTGGTATAGCCACTTTGGAGAACAGTATGGAAGTTCCTTAAAACACTAAAAAGAGAGTTACCATTTGATCCCCCACTCCCATTATTGGTCACGTATCAGAAGAAAAGTCTAGTTTGAAAAGACACACACACCCCAATGATCATAGCAGCACTATTTACAATAGCCAAGACATGGAAGCAACCTAAATACCTAAACGTTCATTGACAGATGAATGGATAAAGAATACACACACACACACACACACACACATAACGGTATCAATTTGCCATACACCAGAAACTAATCCAAAGTTATAAATTAATTGTTCTGTAGTTTTAGAAGTAAATAAATAAATACATAAAGTATAATTCGAAAAATTTTGCAGGGAGGTTCTACTGGTGGTGAATTCTATTCCATAATCTTTTGTTATCTATAAGAATCTACTTCACTTTTGAAGAATGATTTTTCTGGATATAGAATTCAAGGTTTTTGTTATTGGTGTTTTTTCTCAATGCTTCAGGCCTTTCACTCCAATCTCCTCTTGTTTGCATGATTTCAGAAAATAATTATTTATTTTCAAATTTTCTCTCCCATTATTACTTTAAAATATTTCTTCTGATATTTCTTTCTTTTGGAATCCAAGTTGTACATGTGTTGTATCTTTGAAATTGTTCCCAAATTCTTGGATGTTTTCTTTTGTATCTGTTTGTTTTGTTTTGTTTCTCTCTTTTTTTAATCTCTGTATTGCAGTTTGGGAAGCTTTTATCTTCAAGTTCACTTTTTTTTTTTTCCTTTCATCTGTGTTTAATCTACTGGGAGCTAAGAGCTTTTAATTTCTAACATTTCCTTTTGATTATTTCTTAGTATTTCCATCTCTTTGCTTATATTATCAATCTGTTCTTGCATGCTGTCTACTTTTTCCACTAGTGCCTTCAACATACTAATTATAGTTGCTCTACATTCACCTTGAAAATTCCTAATTCTGATTCATACCTGAGTCTGGAACTAATGCTTGCTTTGTTTACCTACCTCCCTGTGAAGACAATGGGCTGCTTTTCTGGGCGCCTGATGTCCTCTGCTAGCGATCAGAAGTTGTTTTGTGAAATTTGCTCAGCGTTCAAATGTTCTTTCGATGAATTTGTAGGGGAGAAGGTGGTCTACCCGTCCTATTCCTCCGCCATCTTGGCTCCTCCCCCTCGGGATGTAAAGTATTTTAAAATGTTATGATCCAGTCTCAAGTAGGTCTACGTCCCTGGATGTGACCTAAACTATGGTATCCTATCTCCCTCCCTTTAGGTGAGACGAGAGGCTAGAGTGGAGTTGGGATTTGGCACCAGCATTTCCTGCAGGCAAAAGAGATCTCTGAGAGCCTTTTCCCTCTAGAGCAGCCTTTTGCTCTGGAGAGCAGTATGGGCTTATGACCATATTGTCACTCTCCTGTCCCTTTGGCAGAACCAAAAGGGATTTTCTAAACTCCTCACTATGAGAATCTGGTGTGGCTACTGAAGATAAAAATCACAGAAGTGTAGGGACACTTCTAAGACTGAAGTTCTCAGTTTTTCACTCTCATGCTAGTTCACAATTATCCTTCAGAAATTCATCAAAATCATTACTTAAGCATTCTTACCAGGTTATATTAATAGCTCCAGTATCTTCTATTTCAGGTAAGTAAATCCTTGCTCCAACTTTCTTTATTTGCCAATCTCTCTATATTTTAATGAGACAGTTTGTTCTGTGACCTCAGTTCTCTATTAAGCCAAGTAATGCTGATTTATATTTTTTTCAGCTATTTTCTTCTAAGTATGGAGTAACAGTTGTTAAACTCTTTGCATGTTAGAGTTGAAAGTACAGCTTCTATTTTCATTGACAATATTGTAAAATTTCTAGATACAATTAGGAAATCTATGAACACTAAACTAGTTCCAAATACATTTCTGCCACAAATTTTTGCTTCTGTATTTGTAAGAACATAGTTGTAGCCAGAAAGTTTCCTTCAAGTTTCTATTTTTATTTCTATGAAAAAATAATTTTATCTTCAATATTCAACATTTAAATTGAATTTATAATAATATTCACAATGATATCAGATATTTTATCCTTGACAGAATTAATTTCTAAAATCTTCGATTGTAAGTATTGAATGATGAAAATCAAATCATTGCTGAAACTAGTCTTGAAGAACCTGATGTCACTGATATAACTTGCATCAGCAAACTGTTTAAACTCTTTCCAACATAGCCATATTAAGTTTGTCTTCACTTTTCTTACATGCAAAAAATATGGAATAAAAAAAGCAAAATTAACTTGGAAGACTAGTCACTCGATCTAAATGAAAAATCATTCTTTACAGTGTGATGTGTAAATGTGGCATCTGATGCTGTACAAATTAAACCATGATATTTGTGTTGTAGTTTTATTGTCATTATATTCTGACAATGACTTTCAAATTATGAAGAGGAGGTTGATACTTCTTAAACAGATTTTTGTTATCTGGTTTACATGTTGTAAGTGATAGTTCAAAGCCCTCCTTTAGAAACACCAACTTTTGATAAACTGTACAAGACACACTCACTGTCAAATTTCTTGAGTAACAAAAGGTATTTCTTAATTTGTTATTTAACAAATACTTTTTAATAAAGTATCAATATAAAGTATGTTTATTTCAGTAGACATTGTTGTTACCAAATATAAAAGTCATGTGTTTGCATCATAAAATAAGTGGCAAAAACACATTATCAAGGATATTCAAGCTTCTCCCCATGCTTCAGTTCCTCAACAGTGTTGCTCAGCTTCTATTTCTAATGTGTATCTCAGGTAGCTGTAACTTACAATGTCTTTTTATTTTTAATTGACATGTGGACTATAACCTAGGGACTAAACTGATCTCTCAGAGCATAGCTCCACTGCTGGTAGGGTCAGTGCACGCTGAATATTTTTATGACTATAATCTGAGTCTAGAGAATTTAGCTATTCTGTTGCACCTGTGTCTGGGGCGACTTAGCTTTGTCAGTTGGTGCCACATGCTCTGTTTCTGAAGGGGGAACATTGGTGATATGGTTTCTTGGAAAGTTAGAGAGAAGATTCAAGTATTTGCTGATCTTTTTTTTTTTTTTTTCCAAATTAAACTACATGTCAGAACAAAAATTCCATCCAATACAAAGGTCTCATACATTATCAGATGAGACCATGGTAGCAACTCTAAGTGCATGGTGGGAAAAATTAACCCACTCTAGATTACTTTAATGTAATGAAAAAGTGATTCATTGCTAAATGGGAGAAACGTTGAGGCAACAGGCAGAAACTGAAACTCTCCTAGGAAAAGCAGGAGATACATTTTTACCTTCTCTGTGTTTATTCTTTTCGTAAGCTAAACATTTTTAGCTGGTTGGCATTTTTTTACACAAAATGGCTCTTCTCATTATACTCTTCCTCACTTATGATGAAATTCAATTTGTGAGTAAAGTTCTTATAGTCCAGTCCTTGAAATGAAGTGCTGTATGGTCTTAAATAAGTAGAATGGGACATTCCACTCACCACTCTTTACCTCTAACCCCTGCCATTACTATTCTAAATAGGAATACAACTATACCAGTGCAGCCTAAGTTCAAAACAGCTTGGGGCCATTCCAGCTATCTCTTGATACATAAAAAACACTCTAAAACTGAGCATATATATACAACAATTTACAATTACACTTCATGGTTCTGGGGACCGACAGACAGCTGAAGAGTTACTGCTCCAGGCTCTCACATAAGTTTGTTGTCAGATAGTAGCTAGAGTTGGGGTCAAATGGATGCTTTTCCATTTACATGAATGATATCTGGCCTGGCTTGTCAACTCAAAGAAGCTAACTTGGACACCACACTGCATCATCATCCCGGGGTTATCAGACTTACAATTCAGAGTGAGCATGCCATGAGACTAAGGCAAACCTGCAAGTTTTTTCTCTCTAGCCTGAAAAGTCATCTCAGGGTTGCATTAGACACGCACTATTAGTTTATCTTAAATACTGGGGCCAGCACAAATTCTAGTTGAGGGATCTATTTAAGTTAAAGGATCCTAGGAATGCTGGGAGGCATGATTCATTGGATAGCCATTTTGGGGTGAATTTATTTAAAATAAAGATATGCTTTAGTTGAAATTTATAGATTATTTTTCAGTTTATGTTAACCTGACCTCTCACTAAAATTGCTATTTTTCACCATTAACATTTTTGTGTCCTTCATTTATGTTCCGCGTCTTCCCTCCTCCTGCTTGTTTTCCCTTTTTTGCTTAATCTGTCCATTGCAATCCATTTTTTTACTATAAATTTTCACATTTAATCCATCCTCCTAGCCAGCAGATATCTTTTTGAAAGCTGAGTTTGTTATACAGAATATCTATTATTATTTCCAACTCAGTGTCTGAACAAATTTAGTGAGGATGTTATCAAAATTTGCATCCAGCTCATAGAAATACATTAAAGAAGAGCACCAGGGGAAGATCACAGAACATGTCAGAATGACTTGAACTTGGGCCTTGTTTGTTGATATGTGTTATATTCATTCACCCAATTTGTCCTGCTGTGTACATTTCTCCATCTTACACAACAGAGTCTGTCAAACAGCTTGCTGAAAACCATTTTCACTGTCTGCAGCACTTCCCTGAGTTTACAGTCTCATAACCATATCAAAAAAGACAATTGAACTAGCCTAGTGTGACTTATTTAATGAGATTATATTAGTTCCTCATCATCACCACTCTCCTTTATAGGTGTTCCAACACTTCTCTTTTATTAATAGACTCAGAGAAATTATTCAAAACTGGCATCAAGATCTCTGGTTGCTGAATATGCCTTCCATTTGGCCTCAAAACTTGTAAATGCCTTTGACTATCTAATTTATCCTATCCTCTTTACTAATTTTTAGGGGTGATGATTCTTCATTTAAATTGTCATATCTTTTAGTGCCTCAGAATTTAATTCATACAGTATAGAATACAAAATATAATTTAGTAGAGTTGCACTGTTGCAAATTCTCCTCTTTGTTTAGATTTTAATTTCATCTTACCAATAGCAAATGCTAAATTTTCTATTCCAGTGTGACTCTTTTCTTTAATAAGGAAAAAGAGAGCACAACAGGAGTGGTGGAATTTTTTTTCTCAGTGCCATCATTAGCATTATAACATATTTTTTAAGGAGTGAGCTGACAGCTTTCTGGCTCTTCTTTCTCTGAGCATAACTAAAATCATCTTTCTTATCCTTTGTTAGTTTTTGGTTTTTTTTTTTTCCCCATATATGTCAGGTCGTTATTTGGGATGTGACTGAGTCTTGATTATTTTTTTTTCAGGTTTTATATAAAAATATTCAATCTGAGCTTAACACAGAGTTCTTTATAAAATCACAACAAGCTCTTTGGGTATTTTGTTTCTAATTTTAAACCCTGCTTTTTTCCCCATCAAGCGTTTAAGGTGACTATATTTCAATATCTTTCAAAATTCTTCCTCAATGGAATAATTTGTGATTGTGCAGTCAGAATTATTTTTTTCAAAAATTCATAGCACTGGTCTAACACCTTCTCATTTAGAGACTTAGTAGAAATTGATGTACTCCTTAGATTTGAATGTACAATTTTTGTGTGTATTCTCTTTCTTGTTGACCATTCTCTGGCAACAAGACCAAATTCCTCTAAGGTTACCATCAATTTAATGTTATCAAGTATTTTTCTTCTCAATCTATACCCAGAACCACATGGAGCGTTTTCTATGACTAGCTGATAACAAAAATAAATCAATCTTTAATACATACATTTTCTTCCATGCTCAAGCGACATTACAGTTTGACTTGGGCCAGAAAGACAGCGGCAGCTCCAAATCCCACCATGGGCAGAACTTCAAGCAAGACATTTGTTTGTTGGTTTCCTGGAAGAAGAATTAACCAGAAATATGGATCTACACAGTTAGTTGGCTGGCTTGTTTATCCCACCGGCAGACCGAGCTGGGTGCGGGGAGAGTTGGGGTGGAGTATATGATTGGACAGTCAAAATGTACCCTTGGGTGAGGATATGTATTTTCTATGCAAATGCTGCCAAAGGACAACACTGCAAAGGATGCTATTTCTCTGCCCTTCTCAGTGTTTGCTTATCAGACTCATGGAGGAAAGAGACCATGGTAAGAGTGATGCAGCCTTTGCTTACCAATATGGACTTCTACTTACTAAGGCTGATCACCTGCTAACAACAGAACCCCAAACTGAGTTTCTAATGTTATTTGTCCTTGAGGAAACAAACCAGTAACATGAAATTTGTTCTTGTTGTTCAGTTGCTAAGTAGTGTCTGACTCTTTGTGACCTCATTGACTGCAGCATGCCAGCACGTCCCTGTCCTTCACTATCGCCTGGAGTTTGGTCAAATTCATGTCCGTTAATGTTACATACATTTTATTGAACTCCTTGCATCATGGAAGGACAGAAGTTTATCTTCAATAATATATACATTTGCCTCACATACTCTTGATACTTTTGTTGGCACCACCATCCATGAAGCTTTCCAGAGTCTTGTTCATTATCATGACATTCACCTATTTAGCTATTGGCATTGTGTAACAGAAACACAATGACTTAAAACAACATTTAAAAAATTCTCTCATCAGTTGGGAGTCAGCCGATTTAGACTGACCTTAGCTAGACCTGGAGTCAACCTGCAGGCTGTGTCTCGGTCTGCATTATATGTCTTTCGTTTTTTTTTGTTCTTTTACGTGATCTCACGCACACTCACACACACATATATATATATATTTTATATATATAGATATATATATATGATCTAAACAAAGACCATATATAAAATCATATTATATATATAATTGATAAGGATAATTTCTCTCTTTTTAATATCTTTTATGAAGAAAGCAGATCATTCTCTTAAAGCCTGTTCCACACACTGAATTCGACTAATTTTTTTTTTTCCATTTGACTTGATCCTATTCCTTTTCTTTCCTCTAAACTGGTAGCTGTAGAGGTTTTTATGATTTGGATTCTAAATTCAGGCAAAAATACTAGAAGCAAAAATTTTACTTCATCATGATGGTGTGTATTTATAATCAATAGGGATTATTTATACTCACATGAATATTATCTTCCACTCAATGATTTATAAGTGTCACTTTTATGATATGTGATATGATATATATATATTATAAAAGTTATTCACAGTTTTTCTGATTATTCTTTTCTCTTTTTATATCCCATTTTTATTTATTTATATTTTTAATCAGTTTGTTGAGCTCCAGAAAAATAAAATCTCTTGCTTCTTTCATGGGGGTCACATTAAATTTGCTTAGTAATTCAAAGAGAACTAAAATTTTTATGAGAATCATTCTTCTTTTAGAATACTGAATATCTTTCCATTCGATGAAATTAATTTCATTTTTAGAAGCACTTTTAAATTTCCATGATAAATCTTCACTCTTAAATCGTTGTTTTATATATTTTCTGCTTAATTTATTGCTGTAAATTTTCCTTCATTTCCATTATATCATCTAACTGTTAGTATATATCAAAGTTTCTCAGCCTTAGCATTGTTGCCTTTTTGGCCTAGATGCATATTTGTCCTGGAGGTGGGAATTGTCCAATGCACTGTAGGATGTTTAGCAGCAGCCTTCCTGGATGCTGTTCAAATTCAGGCAGCCACCTCAACCTTATTGCTACCACTCTGATAATCAAAATTTTTTCCAGACTTTGTCAATGCCCACCTCCTCCCTGCCCCCGCAGTGCTCCTGAAAGGGGTTGGCAAATTTGCATTCCACTGTGAACCACTGGTGTAGATTATGAGGACAGATTTTTTTATGTTAATTTCATATCCTGCTACATTATTAAATCATCTTATATCTTTTTCATACCAATACTATTGGGGCTTTTAACTGCAAATAAAGTTCGTTCTTATGCCTCTAATTGCTCTATATTGCTTGAGTGGGTTAGATAATGTTAAAAAGAAATGAGGATTATGAGCTTGCCTACATCCTGATTTTATCTAGAATGCTTTTATTTTTTCATCCTTAAGAAAGATGCTATTTTTTTCTTATATATGATAGAGAAGTAAAAAGCATTCATTGACTGACTTGTATTTTTTTTATCATAAATAGTGTTGTCAATGCTTTTAAAATATCTATAGCAATGTTTTTAATTTTTTCTCCATTCTTCCTCTACACTGATAAACTGAGGTGTTGACTATTATTATATTGAATCAATTTTCATTGATGAAAAAGCTCTAGTGCTCATCTTAATATTATTTTTAAACTGCTGCTGTGCTGGGTTTTCTTGATAATATTTAGGAACTTTTTATGGTAATTATTATTTTTATGGTATGATTGAGTTGTAATTTAGTTTTGTTATACAGTCTCTGTCAGGTATAAGTATCAATGTTATGTTATTTTATGAAAAGAATTTGGAGATTATTCTCTTCTCTATTTTATGACTAAGAACAGGTTAAACAGCTTTGAGAGTATCTTATCTTTGAAAGTTTGTGGGACTATATTCAGAAATTGTCTTCTCAAAAACTTTCTTGTTATGGTGAGGGAGGTAGTTCTTTCACATTTTTCTGTGGAAATTGGTCCTGGTAAAGTTTTATGCAAATGTAATCTACTGAAACTATCCTCCTCAGCTAGGTATTATCTCCCAATATTCTCAAACCAAATATGTAAAGGTTTTTATTTTATGTAGGAAATAGTTGTGTGGCTTTTTTTTATAGTCCTGATTTTTTTTTTTTAATAAAATCTGGCTGAAAAGAAAACTGTTGGATCAAACTTCCTTTCTTTTTTATAAAAAAATGTTGCCCTGAAGGCTATACATTTTAAAGTATCTTATTAGGTCACTTTATGGCAAATTATTTTTTTCTCTATTTTTCATCTATGTGATGTTTTGCCTGAATGCCCCCCCCAATGTTTTTTTCATGTCAAAATTTAATGATTGAAAAGGTTATGTCTCAGGATTGATCTTTCCAGTCCATTTTCCTCATTGAGACCCAGGTCCTAAGTCCTTTTGTATTTGATTTCTGAAAAGTTGTCTTAAATTTATTTAATATTAAATATGAGTTCTTTTTACATAGTGGTTGTTTCTATTTTTTGGAAGACTTAATTATATTTATGGTGTATACTTTTTGTCTTTTTTCTTTATCTACTACTTTGTTTCTACTTTTCAAGTGCTTCTTTTCCTGTTTAATTTGCATCTCTTTATTCAGCCCCTTGTATTCTTTATCAAACTCTCTGAGTAGGTATATTCAGACTTCACAATTTATTCTTATTTCCAAAGTGTTTTTTTATTCTGTATCTTTCCTGAAATTTAATAGGTCTTACATTTTCCTCTATCTCCATTTATTTTCATGTCCTCTGCTTGTTACATTACTAAATTTGCTTCATGTGCTGTTATAATATGTGAGTGTATGAAGGTATTTTCATACCTTCTGCTAAAATTTTTTATTCTCATTTTCTTTATCTTTCTTACAACAATTTACAGTTAATGTATTTTGGTGTTTAAATTCTAAAAGAAAAAAGTTGTTTGTTTGTTTGTTTTTTTTTTCTTTTTTTTAAGACTTGTAATAGCAGGAAAGCCTATAAAGGGAATGTCAGGGGGGGTTAATTTCTCAAATCAAGGGCGGACTATTTTGTTTCTTGAAAGTACTATTTCCCTAATCATGGTGACTTTTTTCTTTTTGTCTCTTACTTCTGCTTCATTTCTTTTATCTTGTTTTATGTTCTTCCATCCTTCACCTCCTTATTCCATGATTAAGCCAACAAGGGGTATCTCTCCCTTCCAAAATATCTTCTTCTCCATGAATCCCACCTTTCTAAGACTGCCACTCCTGGTCTCCCAGACTTTCCAAGACTTTTTTTTCTGGCTAATCACCAAAAGCCAACTAGATCACAGAATTGTTCTTACCATTTCAGATCATAGAAGAGTACTCTCTTTCTGAGAATGAAACTTCATTAATGATATCTTTGTTTCCAATTCTGTACTCTAAGGTGGGACTTTGTAAATCTCAGGTATGTATTTCTTCACTTACTTGTAAATAAACATTATTGTCACTGTCTCCTAGAACCATGGAATTGTGGTCTATGGGTGATTTTGTATTCTTTCCTTTTGGGCTGTATGTGTTTAGGAAGATTATTAATAGATTACTCTTCATGTCAGCACTATTCTATTTTCATAACTAACCCTAGAACATCTCTTTCACTTCTTGAAATTGGTAAGTCAAAAAATGTTAAACATACTAAATACACAGTATAACCCATTATATATATAAAAATATAATACTACAAATCTTTCAAATGACCATAAGGGGAAGAAATTAAGTACAGATTAAATCACAAAATCAAGTAAACAATTGAGTACTCTCAAATGTCTGTTCAGAAATATTTATAAACGTAGGATAAAGTCACCAATATAACTGATATTCACTTTAGATCACAATGTGACTTCCAGACAAATATAAATTCAGAGATTAACATTTAAAACAATAAAAAGAGATAGAAACCCAATGGACACAAACACTGTAAGCCTATTTTCACCAAATAAAAAGGCATCAAAATTTATAAAGCAAAAATGGAAGAAAGTGCAAGGAAATTCAGCATAAAGTCCAAATAGGAAAATTCAACTGACTGCCATAAATTCAGATAATAAAGAAACACTGCTCCCAAATAATGTATTGTTCCAGTAAAAATATAGATCACTCTTTAAACTCTGACAGAGATTAAACAGTTTAGGTGATATAAATTATTTATAAAAATTGACTGGAAGCAAACCTCAATAAATCTCTTAATGTAGAAATATTAGAGCCACCAGTTCTTATCATTATGCTGATCCAGCAAAAACTGCTGGCAAGCTCCCCAGTACCAACCCCAGAGGAATTAAAAACTGAAATGCCAAGTAAAGAGATGCTTTTGGGGAAAATATTTGTCTTTTGAACAGGTTTGTCTTAGTGGTAGTGGCTTTAGCTTGTGCAAGGCATGACAGGACACCACTTTAATAAAATGAAAAGGATTCTGATATCCCTACTCATAACTAATCATACATTATTTTGAACTGTAAGTGCCTGATCACATAAGCATAGTACATCAGACTACTGAGGTAGATGTACTCAAAATAAAAACTAGTTGGGTTAGTTGCTAGAACAAAAATATGTGAGAACTGATCAGCTTGTGGAATTTGCTTTCCAAACTCTATTTTTCCAAACACCTAGGGCTGGTGAAGTACAATCCAAGGAATCCTTCCCCTCAAGTTGGCTTCTTCCTGGAGGTGGAAGGTAATACCTT